CTGTTGGTGTTGGCCAAGAATCTTCATCACCTCTGTTTTATCTATGTTCACTTGAAGTCCTATCTTTGATGCTTCTTCTGCCAACTTGTTGCTTTTCACTTACATATCTTCCAGTTTGTGGGAAATCAGACATGTATCATTGGCGAAGTCCAGATCCTCCAAATCTTTTGTGTGAGTCCATTTTATGCCTGTTTCCTCGTTGACGGGCCCGTTGTCTGTCGCATTATCCAGTCTACTGCAATCAGGAAGATCATTGGCGATAACAGACAGCCTTACCTCACTCCCGTCCTCACTTCGAAGGCTTCCGTAAGTTTCCCGTTGTGGATTACTTGACATGCAGCATTGTCGTATAACTGTTGGATGAGATGTATAATAGTCGATGGGACCCCATAGTAGCGAAGTAGTTGTCAAATCACCTATCGATCGACGCTGTCTGTCGAAGGCCTGTTCAAAGGCGATGAAGTTGAGATAGAGAGGTGGCTGCCATTCCCTTAATTACATGCATATTTTTCTCCTTTAGAAACCCTTATTTCTCTTCTTTCTGCATATGAGGGCTACATGAACTGGTGCACTGGTATGTGGAATGTTGTGTGTTAAAAATCAGTCAGTTACTCAGAGACTTGGTGGTGACGGACATGTCACCAGGGTGTTCATATAGTCTCGTCGATTAGGTGTGGAGGTTATGAAGTCTTTTTAGGTGAAGGTTTGCACCGGCTCCTAGTGTAAGGATAAGGATTGAAGTGGTCGAGCATGTTGACCAATTCACTTATTTATGAAGTTGCGCCTCAACCCTGATGGACTGACTACTGACGAAATCTCAGCTTGTATACATAAGGCTCGTGTAGTCATTTACCAAATTACATCATTTCTGACATAAATGTGATATCCTACTGTCGACCAAAGGATGTATTTGCTCAGTTCTTCTTCATGGCACTGAAACATGATATTTGAGAGGGGAAGATGTGGAGAGACTAGTCGATTTTAAGCAATAACTACCTGCTTTCAGATCTTTGTGTGAAGAGATGTAACACAATGAGTAATAATGAGGTTAGGTGAAGAGTGTTAGGTAAGGAGGGAAAGACAGTGGATGAGGTTGTGTATCTGTATTGACCGAGGATATCAAAGCAAGGATCGTGAAAGCAAGACAGGCTTTCATTACACTCAAGTCAGCACTCAGCATGAAAAATAAGATCCAGATTTTCAACTCCAATGTGAAGTCAGTGCTACTATACGGATCATAAAGAGCGCCTCAAACAAACTACAGACCTTCATTAACAGCTGTCATCGCTCAATACTCAAGATCAGATGACCAGAAAAGATCAGCAACAGGGATCTCTGGCAATGAGCGAACCAACCCAGCAGAAACCGATTGTGCAACCAATAGGCAGGAAGAAATGGAGATGGATTGGCCATACACTGAGGAAAACATCAAGTGACATCACTAGACAAGCCATTGATCGAGTGGAACCCGAAAGGGAAGAGACGAGTTGGTCGTCATTGCAAGGGTGACTTGGAGGAGGTCATGTGAGGAGGAGATGAAAGCATGTGGGCAGACTTGGAGCGGGGTGAAAAAGTTGGCAGAAAACAGAAGGCAATGGAGGTGCGCAGCTGAAGCCCTATGTTCCTCTAGGAATTAAAGGATATTATAATGATAATCTGCGTTGACTGAGATGGCTAAGTCACGTGTTATACATCCTAAACTATTACCTTCCTTGTAGACGTCTAATGTTGGCGGATAGAGGATAAAGTTGGGATAGAGTTGCGGGGTGGAGTGGTGGCATAAATCCATGAATCCGTTGACACTTGGTTTGAGCCAACCACGTAGGGAGATGTAGACTGCCTAGTTAAGGATCCTCGGGATGCTGAGAACCAATGACTGGAGACTGTCGTTCTCATTGGCGCGGGGATGCGTTCACTCTTTGTTATCTCTTAGACTGAATAAGTTCTCACTCATGACCTTGCATGTTACTATTCTTTTTTTTCTGTACATTTCTGCTCATTTTAATTCTTTTGAGCCTCTTTGTCTCTCTGATTTCTCTACTTTTTGTACCGCATGTTGTGTGGCAACTTGAACTTCCGATGCCTTTTTGTAAAAAGTTTCAGAATTCTCTCTTGTGAAAACTTTGAACGTGATTGGTTGTTTCCGAAGATTTTTACACCTTTTTTTCCACTGACTACTTGAAGATGACTTTTTCAAATACCTCTTTGAAAGTATTATTTGATTACTATATAATTAGTGAAATTTGTAGGTCGGTAGTGAATTTATAGTTAGGCAAACTAGCTGAGATTGTTGATAATTATGACATTGGTTGACGGTCGCTCTATGTATCAGAATGTGTGATGGAAGATGGAATTTTTGGGTCCTTCCCAGTGGCTCAATGGTCAACGAGTTCGCCTTGTAATCTGAAGGTCATAGGTTCGTCTTCTGTGTAGGTGTGGGGTTAAGGGTACTTACTGTGGATGGGTTGAAGACAAGAGCGAAACGGTACCGTCCAGTGCTTGACTTGCTGATTTTTAATGGTTCTCTAAATAGAGGCAGTTACCAAACAGACAATTTTTTATTTGGAAAACTGACTACTAATCTATTAGTAGTTTTCATCACGACTCGAAGGTAAGCAGAAAGTCATGAGAGGCTAAATGAGCGACGAGATTTGTCAAAATGAGATAGGAACTGTCGTACTTTAGCATGGACGGATTAAAACCATGAAAGGAGTAGTTGAACAAACATCTGTATACAGAGATCTGGCATTTTCATTGGACACTAGTAACTAGTGTGATGTGTGTTTAGTCCTTTCTTTGGTGCAGACTGAATTCTGTCAGTCAGATTTGTAATGTGGCCACCATGCCACTAGGTAGCTCGCCATCACGGCGCACATTGGTTAGATGATATTAGATGGTTGGAAGCAGTCGGCCACAGGAAGCCTTGGACCTAGGTTTCGTGCTAGTTGGCACTCACCAGTCAGCAAGGCGTATATGCAACCTTGAAGCAACTCATGTCTTTCCTAATATCATCAAATCAATTCGCACTGTGATGGCGAGCTACCTGGTGGCATGGTGGCCACATTACAAACCAGACTGACAGAATTCAGTCTGCACCAAAGAAAGGACTAAAGACATCAATCAAAATATCCACTACAGTCCTACTGGAGGTCAATCGCGAACCCGAATAGCTCAATGGTAACATGTCTGACTGCAGGCGGCACTGTGTGACGTGGGTTCGAATCTCAGAAAGGACATGAGTTCCTTTAAGGTGATTGCAGATACGCCTTTCTGACTGGTGAGTGCCAACTAGCACGAAGCCTAGGTCAGGTGAGGCTTCCTGTGGCCGATTGCCTCCAACCATCTAATATCATCAGAGATCTGGCTTTTTTATTTTGATGACCAAATCCTTAACAATACAAATGAGTAGGATAAGTAATGCTTTTGACAGGTTATTTTTCGCCTTGTAGATAACTTTAATGGAAGAGGCTGTAGAAGTAATGTGACGAGTATCGTTTAGATATTCAATCACTAAACTTCTTATAACCCTACTTCCACCCCTTTGTAAGTTCGCAGGATACTGTGTTGGTTGCACCCTTTTAGAGAGAAAGTCCGCGTCGAACTACCGATATACCTAGCTCCACAGGAGTAGGTGGAGGTGAACTAGTAGACACACACACACACAGAGTTAGTCAACTACGGGATCTTACCCTTCAGGTTATCGGACAGTAATGGTATACTAAAAAACCCCCACCAATTTCAACGATGCTGTAGCCAATGTCCATTTCAAAGACTTTCATACCCTTCTTTCTTAATGATGTTGTCAGCCAAAATCACCTTTGAATTCAAGGTTCATATATATACACAGCATTTTCTTGTATACAGACGTCAAATCGAATTCCATAAGTTTTTAATTTTATGTTTTTGAGTATAAGTCATGGCGGATATTCATTTTTTTTTATTAGGATTTTTATTTGAAGATTTAACTCTTCCTCCCTCCTCTAGATGAGCGAATGACAAGTGGTCAAATCAGGGGTGTAGAAATTGATCAGCTGTGACCATCCTATGAAAGCTTTCTTCAGAGTTCTATCAGTCCTCCTTGAATGTTAGACCCGACCGGAAGCTGCTACCTTGACGTGATGGTCGGGCTTGAACACCGCAATGACCTAATCAAGCTATACTGGCTGAGACTTATGTCTCTTGAGGTCCTACCATGCCAGAAAGGTTGTTTGGATAGCGGTTAGACAAAAAGCAGCTACCCAATCCAACACTATGATACATACAAACTCACAAAAATATCATACCGGATCGGCCGGGGCCCGAATTAACAACGACCGCGCTTCCTGCTGCCGTGTCACAGGGCAGGAGTGATAAGTATGCTACTGAGACACACCAAACAAAAGAGAACAAACAAAAACAGGCCGCGTGTGACCGGCCTCAAGCAGTTGTCCCCTGGGCTCTGCGGTCACGCAACCAACTTCCACGGTGTGGGCAGCCGGGAAGTAACAATCGCCCTCACAATCCGAAATGCACACGAAACCTCTCTATTACTCACTCATCTTTGTCTTCATCTCTTTGATTCACAAGGCAGTGTGAAACAGCGTTCCAATACTCCCCAGGTTCATACGTCATTTGATTCGTTCAAATTCTGGGTTTTCCAGCTCCATTAGACAGGTAGGCCAGCACATGTTCACCAGTCGGGTTGCAGTCTCTGAGCTTTCGTTTTCGCCCATACATTTTTGAGGGGAACACCCTTTGCCACTAATTGGAAGTAGTGAATAAGACTCACTTTACTATGTAATTCGCAACCTAACTTGAAGTCCATGCAACACTTTATTACTAGTTACAGGATTTCATCATGAGCTGACATCAGTCAGAGAACCATTGGAAAACCTGCTAGGGAGTACTGGACAGCTGTTTCGTCCTAGTTTGAGACTCTTCAAGAAATAAAATCTATTTGAAAGTACATCAGTTAAAACTAATAAAAGGTTTTTTTTAATTTTTATCTTTTTTTCCCATAGAATAATAATTATCCTTGTAAATGCCATCAAAGTGTACACTTTCAGTCCATCACCGCAATTAGTTTTCGAGTCAAAAACATGTTCAAATCCTTTAGGATTATGTTATGTATGCCAAAGTGTTGATAATCCATTGGTTGTATTCCCCGGCCGTCGACCCGGTACTGTTCTACTTGTACATATTGGAAATACTAGTGGCAATGTGATTGTGAACAATAATAATATGAATATGAACAGTACTCCTATGAGTGGTAGTACCAGTAATCTGAGTAATATGAATACAAATATTGGAGGTTCAAGTTCTTCTTCTACTAATATTACTACTACCACACCTATTAGTAGTACAATGTGTCCATCATCAACAAATGCAACAAATATGCCACCGAGACAAATTGTCGCACATGAAAACCCTCTGGCATCGATTAGTTTAAATCGTGATGGTTATCTAATGGCGACAGCATCACAGAAAGGCACTTTAATACGTGTCTTTTCAACAAAAGACTGTAGTCTACTGCATGAGCTACGACGGGGGACTAGTCAAGCTACAATTACTTCATTATCATTTAATAAAGATAGTGATTTGTTGTGTGTCACGAGTGAACGTGGTACAGCGCACATCTTCTGTTTGGCGAAAGATACTACTTCTGCTTCTTCTTCTTCTTCTGCGTTATCGTCTTCATCGAATCTGCGTAATACACCGACTGGAGGAGGGAATAGTCCTCATTTTATAAAATCTACAGGATCCGGGTAGGTTGTTATCATTTATTATTTTTATTGTTATTATTATTGTTACTTTTTAATGTATATGTATCCCTAATACCAATCGCCAGCTCAATGATGGGCTACTGTATGCATGTCCTGAAGCTGCAGTCGGTATTAATTCTTAAATTTCATGTGTTCTTCAAGTAAATTTGGTATTGCGTAAGTTTTTTTCTTTGCCCTCCCAGTGGAATATACAACTTGAGTATTTCGAGTTTCTACAGCGGTGGAATTGTTTTTACTAAGTAAAGCTGACAGTCAGTCGGTGGTACAGCGGTGCGATGCTCGCCAGCCACGCCTCATGGGGTTCGGGATTCGATCCCCGGCCACCAATTCACTCCTTTGTCTTGCTAAGCCAGTAATAAGACTGGCAAAGAGGGAAGGTTGGGCATGGAGATGGCAGCAACTCCATTCCGTAAAAATAAACACCACTGCTACCGAAAATTCAGGCCTCCAGCTTGAAGCCCCCTATGTTCTACAGGAGACGTAAAGGAATAGAAAAAAGTAAAACTGACAAATAGACTCACAGCCCATGAACCTTTTAGAGATTGTCGATTAATATAACTTCATTTTCGTGTATTGGGGAAATGGTATCGAAAATCCAGTTGTCTGTTATAAGAAAGACTTGGGTTTATGTTGATAGAACTGACTTATCCGGAACATATTTTTCATATATCAGGTCATCAGCCGAATTTATTGTGTGTATGTGTGCGTAGGGGAGGGGGTCTTGCGATCCAGACTGAAGTGGGATAGAGTGGGATAATTTTTTTCTACCTTTAAGTTCCAAGTGGAACATTGGGCTTCGAGCTAGAGGCCAGAAATTTCAGTAGCAGTGGTGTTTATTTTAACGGGATGGGGTTGCTAGCCTCATGCCAAACCTTCCTACCTTTCCAGTCTTATTACTGGTTTGGCGAGTTAAAGGTGGGCGTCGGCTGGGAATCGAAACCCGGACCACATGAAGGCGTGGTTAGCGAGCATTCTACCTCTGTACCACCGACGCCACGAGTGGGATAATAAATGATAGTAAATAAAGTACACCAGTTGACTACTTCATTTATCCGGTATGTGTTAACCTACCAATATTTTTGCTTTAAAAGACGCATTAAAGAACAAAGAATATTCTTTTCAATAACCTCTTAAGTGGTATGCTTTGAAGACCCTATAAAACATCGAATCCAAAGCCTTCAGTTTACGATATCAAGCTTGTTGATCCTTCTGTCAGCTCGACTGGAGTTTAATGACCTGAGAATTCTAACTTCTAGAGATAGGGTGGTGATCATTATCGATCAGATGTTCAATGATAGCGCTTCTTATTGCTCCACTTCCACCTCGTCGTAACTACCATGCTGGATAGTGTTCTTGCACCCTCTTGGACAAAACTCGAGTCGAACGACCGATGTACCTAGCTCTATACGAGCAGGTGTACGTTTATATCGGTCGTTCGACTCGAGTTTTGTCCAAGAGGATGCAACAACACTATCCAGCATGGTGGTTACGAAGAGGTGCAAGTGGAGCAATAAGAAGAGCTATCATTGAATATCTGGTCGATAATGATCTCTAAGGCCTCCACCTTTAAAGTCATCTACAAGGGAGAAAGTAATTTGCCCAAATCACTAAGTATCCGGCAATTCTAACTTCTGTCTCTTATCGCTTTTAATACCACTGTCAGCCGGTGTCATCTGTGGCCGGTATTTGTCCTCACAGCGGACCTGATAAACCCTACTAATCACGACTGCTCAGTAGTGTAGCACTACTCCAGGCAACTTCATCCCGTAAAGTTAGTCACCAGAGTAAGCAGATTAACTTTCAAAAGTTAGTTTCTAGGGATTTGATTTTTTTTAAATTCTAGTTTGATCAGGGATCGTTATCAGGTATAGGACAATTGGGACTCAAATTAGGATAAAACAGTTGTTCAGAACTGGTTGGTTTTCAATGGTTCTGTGACTGGTAACGATCCACAATCCCACTTGAAACAAATCAAATCTCTACAAACTAACTCTCGAGAAACTTCTTCATGGGGTTCTACTGTTACGTATCCATAATAGTTAAAGCAATATTGTTACTGATAGAGTCCGGACGCCAAGCCACACCCCCAAATAAATTTCAAAGTCGTCTATAGAGTAAGAAGTAGTCTTCCTAAAGGTGTACGAATCAGACTTCTTCAGAACTGCAGAATCAATGGCGATTCACTTGCTAAACCCTGAACTCTGCAAACAGAAGAAGTTCTTTCAATCACTACACTTGCAAGGAACGTAATCTATCTTATTACCCAGCAAATAAATTCTACATAATCTTTTTTTCTTTTCTGTCTTTTCATTAATATTATTTTGTCTTCTCAATTGTAATATTTTACATTTTCTACTTTCTTGTTCTCTACCTCCACCCAATTTAATTTCTACACTTCACTACAACATGGTTACTGACTTGACCAACGCTCAATTTCTAGTCATTTATGTTATGCCATTCAAGTTATTTGTTCAATTTCAGTTGTAATTTGAATGGCTTTGTTCTCTACCCCACTTCTACTTAGTCTCTATCTGTAATTACCTCTGTTGTTATCCTGACCTAGGTTGAAACATTTTAGTCAACTACATTACGTCATCTAACTTTGGAACTAACTCAATCTTACTTTGGTTGTTGTCTAATTTACCTTGTTTCTGTATTAGATCATTCTTGTATTACCTGATCAATTATATAAACTTGACGAACTTCATGTACGCACACACACACAAATAATTATATATAAATCCGATTGTACAGCTATATGAATGAATTCGCCGAAAAGAGTTTCTTCGCTGAACGTCTTCTCTTTTTCATATGACTCAATGGGGATTTTCAAGCTACTCAAACATTATTGCTGTTCAAGTGTTGGTTTGTAGGGATTTGGTTGATTGGTTACAGGATTTTCATCATGAGCTGACATTAGTTAGAGAACCATTGGAAAGCCTGCTAGGGAGTGCTGGACAACTGTTTCGTCCTAGTTTGGGACTCTTCACCAGTACGCATCCACCGGAATTCGACTTGCCCTATTCAGGTAGGTAGTTACTTGGGGTTCTAGTGAGAAGTCGTGACCAGTAGGGTGCAGCAGGTTGGGTGTGAGGACAAATACTTGCCGAAGATATTGGCTAGGGGTCGCGCTATGTCATGAATTGGCAGAAGTTGGAATTCATGGGCCATTGGATCGGGTCCTGATTCCGAACCCCGGTGGGTGCGTACTGTGACTGAATCGGTTTCTTTTGCACATAGAGCTCCGGTTGATTTAAGCGAATTGCACTAGCCATTGCTGTTTGGAGTATTCGATATCTATAGAGGTCTTCGGTAATTTATTTGATACCCGATAGATGGTGGTAGTGAAAGACTCTTCAATGCATGCTAGCCAACCTTGTGGCCTGTTTGGACGAGGTGATCTACTGTAGAGCTGTTGTTGGTTTTAACAACACTCGTAGGTGTTCCTGAGCACGAAGAAGTAAGTTCCTAGAGCAACTAACGGTCGAGTATAACGCTACACAGAAGCAATTGAATCGATAGATACATGAAGAGATGGTAGGTCTTTCAGTTGATGAATGTAAAACACAGTGTGTACATAAAACAACTATTTTAAAAATCTATTATTACTCATTATATATACTAACTACTTAATTAGAAGTTGCAAATTTAGCATGTTGTAGATAATATAATTGACACAGCTGATGATTGAAAGGGCAGGTTGTCTAAACTGTGATGAACTGTGAAAGAGTGAATGCACCTTGAACCGTACACCTCTTGAAATGCTCCCATATGACCGGGCGTCGTACATAGCCTCTCCTGAGGAAGCCCTACTCACTGCCTTCACGTGGCGGAGGTGTTTTTCACCAAAGTGAGAGGGCAAAAGCGGATGCCCGGCGCTCTTCACCGGGTTGGCTGTCCATTGGATGACAGTCTAGGGGAGATGGCTAAACCCTGATTCCAAACCTCCAACGACTGGCGTATGAAGCTCACCGGAGCTCACCGGCAGACGTATGGACAAAGGGCTTATTAGGTGCCCTGGATGACTGGCCCCATTCAAAAAGGCGAATGAACCGGACTCCGGTCATCGGCTGCCAATGGATAGTGGACTCCCTACTCCACTCCTACTGCCTTGTAGGTCACACTTGGTTGTGTAAAGGCTAGAGCTGCACTCTCAAACAAAGGCCGAGCGATGCTGGGGACATCACTCGTACCCAATTCCCATGAAACTTCATGGTTCATGAAGCCGGCTCATCCTCCCGTAGGAGATAGCCGAAGTAAAGAAAGAAGACCTTGAACTCAAACGATAACACTGTTTGTTATCCTTCATACCGTATTATACATAGAAAGTTATTTGAGAAAGTCTAATCAGTAGCAATAATAATAATACTAATATTTTATTCAATGAATTTATTTTATTAGTAGTCTATATCTTTTGTTATTTGAAATCTTTACTTTCAGTTCTGGTAAGCTTTTTCCACGTTCTCTATTTTCTAATACAAGCCATGTACGATGTGTTTTGGAGACTAAATTCAAGGCAATATGCGCCTTCAGTGTTGTCAGTCCTGATACACTAATTGGTAAGTTCTACAAAAGGAGTTTCTCTGCATTTAACCCCCCCCCCCCACCCATATTCTCTCATTGTATAAGGAAGTATTTTTTTTTAATGTTGGTATGACAAATTCTCATCTCATAAGTCAGCAAAGAGATCTCCTTTGGTAATCTGACTTCAAACCTATGCAGTTATTTGGGGCTATTGGGTTGGTTCCCAGTGGCTGAGTGGCCTGCGAGTTTGTCTTGTAACCGAAAGATCCTGGGTTCGAATCCTGGCGGCTTCGTGCTGCCGATGAGTCTCGGATTGGGAAGAAACCACTGTCCATTAATCCCTGCTGTTTTTCAGTAGTTCTTTAACTGATGTCAATCCATAGTCAAACTTGAAACAAGGTTCACGTTTTTTCTTATTGATCGCTAATATCTTGGCTGCATGAAGTTGTCTGCAAAATCCTTTCAAACGCCTTGGTTATACTTTATATACGACTCTGAAAGAGGTCTCTGACGATGCCGCTTGACCAGAAATAAAAGTGAGCTCAAGAATTGAACTGTTGACTGTTCTGCGTTCTCTTTTCGACAGTCATGCAGCTATGTGTTTATGGGCGTGTCTAGACAACATCCTTCTACTACGGTATATGTACTTAGCTTGACAAGAGCAAGCGAATTGCTAAATGCATACTGAGGTTGCCTACAGTGGGATCTTGTCTTTGACGTTTTAGTTAACTAAAGCATTTGTGGTGAAGGTGAAGCGTTGAGATGTGACAAAGAAACTCCGTCTAACTGTTTTCGACAAGTGCCTTTGTAACAACAGAAGACAAGGCCCGGCAACAGATCGTTTTATTACGGAAATCAACACGTATTTATATATATTTCATGTACATTATTATTGCTTATGCTAGTAGACAAACTCAGTCTTCTGATTGGTTGTTTTCGAGATTTCGCGGAAAGTGAAGCCATCTATCTGCGAATCATATTTGCCCACGGTAAGTTTGCTGTGATTGGTTGTTGAATCAGCCTTGTTGATATTTTCCCACGCCCAATATTAGTGACCTAGACATTGACGTAGATTACTGTCTACCAATGGGCTAGTAGCCTGCTCTCACCACACCTTCACTAATTGTATCTTCCTTGAAATTCTGATTTACAGTAAGTTGTTTCTTCGAACCATCCTGGTTTCGCGTAGTGTCTGTCCTTCTCTTTAGGTATTGTTTGTTGATGGAGGAGGTTGGATATCCATTTTTGATGAGAGTACTCCTGAAGGATTCCAATTCTTTATTGAATGTATCTTTAGTGCACATGCCGTAGATTCTCGTCGGTGGCATAGCGGTTAAGACGCTCGCCGACCATGCACATGGTCTAGGGTTCGATCCCCGGCCGACTCACACTTGATAACTATGGTCGGCCTGCTAAAATTTGGGCTACCGATATCACATGCTGAAAATTCCATACGTGTATCAAAAATACTGTGTGGAGTCAAGCTACAATAAAAATAAAATAAAAAAGCTGTGGGACATGGCCATTGAAAGTGGAAGACATGAAAAGCCCGGCTAGCTACCTTTGATTATAAGTGTTCATTAGTACATCTATGATGACGTTGAATAGAAATGGGGATAATGGACATCCTTGACGGACACCAATAGTCGTCACCAATTCAGATGACAACTCACCGTAAGCCCTCACCTGGCTGTATGAGTACGAGTAGAGTGCCTTAATCAGTGCAATGTATTTTCTCGGAATTCCCTTTACAGCCAAACATCGCCGGAGAACCTCTCGATCGACAGAATGGAATTCCTCCTTTAGGTCAAGAAATATAATGACTGTTGGACGCCGATAGGAATGCCTATATTCTAGAATCTGTCGGAGGGTGAAGATATGATCAATGCACCCTCTTCCTGGTCTAAAGCCTGCCTGGCTCTCTCGTGTTTGTGCCTCCCGAGCACCACTTAGTCTACGCATGATTATTGAGCCTAAGACTTTAGGTACTATATTAGTCAAGCTAATCCCTCTGTGATTATCACAAGAAGACTTGTCTCCCTTCTTGTATTGTATATGGGGTAATCAGTGACTTACACCAACCCGATGGGACTTCCTCTGATTTCCAGACGCTGCTTAGAACCTCAGTTAATGCAGACAGTAAACTGTCTCCATCGTACTTAAATACCTCTGGAGTGATTCCATCAGGTCCCGCTGCTTTTCCTTGTTTCAGATTGGTGACAGCTTTAGTAACCTCAGTTAGGGACGGAGGACCTGTGTCTATATCCCATTCAGGGAGGTGTTGGATGTTCGGCAGGTTGTGAAGTTATATTGATTGCGATGTTTAGGACATGTGTTACAGGCAATGTTAGTTGACATAGAAATTAGGTTGGAAAAGAGTTAACTAGTGGTGGTCAAACGAAAACGTGGCTTCATCAGCCAATGAAATCCACAACAGTTAGCTTGAGCCACTCAGCCACATAGGGAGGTGTAGACTTCCTGACTAGTTGGGGTCCTCGGGATGGTGAGAACCAATGGCGATTGGTGATAATTTTTGATATGGCCCAGAAATCGTTCTCGATGATGGCACAGATGCATCCACTCCTCGTGAATTATCATATATCCAACAAAACTCTCTTGTTCTTCCAAATTACTATTCTTTTTACCTCACTGACACTTCTGTTTAATATCTCTTTCTCTTTTGCATCTCTCTTTATTCTTTTCTCTTGCTTTGCGTGCTACAAGGAGGGAGTGTGGCAAGTCGAACTGGTGCACATCTGTGCAAAGTTCTACGTTGAAGCCAGTCAGTCTGTCAGTTAGAGTCAGATTGGCGATACAACAGGGATGTGGAGATTTCTTTTTCTACTGACTGAGACAAAATTTTGTCAGTTGTCCATTCCATTTTAGCTTGTGGTAAATTGATGATTGGATCAGCAGGAAGCCGTGGAGCAAAGGTTTCGTATGTATCAGCACTTATCAACAAGGTAATATTTGCAGCGTTGAACGAATTGATGATGTTCTCCCCTTAGAGATTCGAACCCACGTCACTTCGTGCTACCATCAGTGATGCTACCAATCAGCTCTTCATCTTAGGTGTTAGAAATGAATCAGATGGGAACCTTGCTTGTTAGCACTTATTCAATCAGTTTTAAGTACAATTTTTGGGGAAAATCGATGTTTCACAGCTTCTTCGATCGTGTATTAGTCAAAAAACTTTGTCAATAATCCTATTTAAGTCATAACTGATGCTCCGTGGAGTTGTAAGGTCCATACAACATCAGTCATCTTTTTTCTGTGGTTTCAGTAACTGTAGGTTTATAAAGTCTCTGGCATCGATGCAGGTCGGTGTAAATTAGGATCAAAAATCGGTGATTTAATATACTTCTTGTTGATGAGTACTAAGATATATGGGAGCTGTTACCTTTTTCTTTATTCTAAATTTAACCTGTCCATTGTTTTATCTGAGTCGGTCACACAACACCAGTTATTGGTATTTCAGGAATGGATTGAATATGGAGATCATAAACAATGGGTGCTTCTGCTCCACTTTATACCAATTTTGAGTCATAAGTGTCTAAATCAACTTCACGTTAAATAGTTTGAAAAACAAAACGATATTATTGTTTTGTTTACTGATGTTTCGCTATTCCTTAATGCTGCTGCTAATAGCTATATCAGAGTAGTAATATTAAACCAGAATTTACAAAATCTGAGCTTATATACACCAATTTAATCATCTTTCTTCAGCATGTGTTGATTTTTTGACGTTGTCAAGTTGATCAGTTGGTAAAGAAAACAAAACCATGTGTAGATTGTTGGATATCCATTTCCTTTCATCTAAACTAGGCGGTAGTCTAGAAAAGGTAGCTCACTGAGATCCGATTCTACCATGTCAGCAATAGCCTACAATCATTCATTCTTAGCGTCTGGAGGGTGATAGCCCCTGGTGGTTTACACACCTCCCAACGTGGCTTGCTTAAACTAATAGTCAAGGGCTTCATGGGTTGGTGTAATGACTATCCTTAACTCTTATCTAACCCAGTCTAGTCCTATATCACCTAACACACTTCTAGACAAGGAAGGCGATGGTCTGGGATGCGTAGCATGTAGGCTATGTACCTCAATCGATACAGAATAACAGTCTCATCATAATTAACTTTTGCTCCCCAACCTAACATCCAACGCCTTAATCTTACAACTACCCACTACATATTATACCACGTAATAAAAGAAAATGAAGGCAGACATCTGTGTGTTCAAAGAGATGGCTAGCCAGTGCATACTAGACACCTTGAATTGGCTGTACTTTCCAAATTTATTTGTTCAAATACTCCAATTACTCAGAATTTCTTCGCAACAATCTACATAATAATAAAGATAATATTAAATGAGGTGATATTATGTAACAAAAGTTGTGTGTGGACATAGTCAAATGAGGAGATCCATTACATTTTAAGACTAGATTCCACCCGATAATCTTCCTATGCACTATTATCATATTACTATTTCCTTTGATCGCGAATGGAACATAGGGCTTCAACAACACATCTCCATTTTTTCCTGTTCTCCGCGGTCATCGTCAGGTGGCCTCACAGTTGCTCATAAACCTATATCTCTTCACAGAATCTATTCCACGTTACCCTCGAGAGCTTCACTTATTGTTTTCCACTCGGGTTTCACTTGTGGATTTGCTCATAAGTATATCAACGTGATATGATTATGTGCAGCAATAAATTGTGCTCGAAACGTCATCAGTAAATAATACTATATAACACTGTGAGACTTTATCAAAATAAAACTAATGGAATTATACTCTACCACCACAGTGCACAAGATTTATTCCCTGAGGTTGTTGGTTTAATTGCAAAGCTTTCGTCGTCTCACTTCTAGACAACATCGCTTCAGCGAAAGTTTTAGCATAAAATTAACTGATTTCAATTCCCCATAAATGATAGAATTGTGACTCCTGCCCACCATCTTCGCGACTGGTAGTCGATTTATATCTGTACTGATAATCATTTTTATTGACTTGGATTTTGAGCTTTCTCGTCACGTG